AAGCAATACTAACATGAAATCACCATGGTCATGCCACCCAGAAATGACAGCTATTAACAGCTCAGTGAATGTCTTTGGAGACAATTTTCTAAGCAGATTTATGTGTGCATATATATGGGTCAGCCTCTGTTTTGTATTTTCTTCTTGGTGAAGAGTTTTCTCCATCTCACTGCAGCTTCCCTCTCAAGGAGCGCACACCATGGGCTCACCCTCCCAGGGTCTGGATGAATCGTCTGAAAGGCCAGCTTTCCTTTTCTCTCTACAGAGTGGTAACCACAGCGCACCGGGTGACCGCAGCCAGGATGCAGCCATGATCCAAGGGGATGTTCATTCCTTGGGTACTTTCCTCTCCACTTGCTTCTAGCTGGGGCTTCCTCCTCGTCTCAGAATTGCACAGCAGCTGTCTTAGCTCAGGCTTCTATAACAAAATACCATAGATTGAGTGGCGTAAGCAACAACATCTAATTCCTGTGGCTCTGGGGGCTGGACGTCTAAGATGGAAGTGCCAGCAAATCTGTTTCCAGTTGGCTTATCTTAAGTGATAAAAGCCAGGGAACGCGTGTGCCCTCCAGACACCGTGGTGACAAGCTGGGTCATGCACACTTTGCCTGTCCAGCTCCGCAGCTCCGGGACTCTTGCAGCCCCCCAGGGTTCTCAGAACACAGGCAATCCTCCCTCTGGTGGAGATGGCTCCTTGCAGGGGTCTCTGAAGCAAGGGAGGGGGAGCCTTGAGTCAGGGAGGTCTGCTCTCACCACCTGCTGCTGAGCAGGTGCCAGGAAAACCCACCAGAGCTGACCCTGGGCTGATCCAGTGACCTGACTCAGCACACTGCACCCAGCGTGCTCTTTCACTTTCAGAAGATTTCATTCCTAACTGAAATTGTGCAGTGGCACCTGCTGGTGGCGCTGGATATGTGGGTACAGAACCCCCAGGGTGGGCGTGGCCTCTTCTGCATCTGACCCCAGGGGCCCTGAGAAACTAATAAATACCTAAGATATTCTTTAGTCCCCCTCTGTGAAATTCATAAACGTCTTAAGCCGTCTCCGCAAGTTTTTTTTTTAAATGATGAACATCAATTATAATAAATATAAAGGAAAAATAATAGAATGTCTAAGTTAATATGTAAATGCTCAGGTATGACCACCCTGGAGAGAGAAAGTTTATCCGAGGGGAGAATCCTTACCTGAGCTCGATCACCACAAAAGCATCAGCTACAGATGCAGATGGCCACAGGTCTGTTTTTCCTAGTCACTCAAATGACACTCAGGCACACCGTCAGTTACGTGATTTTCCAGAACTGGTAGGTTCTGGCACAAATAAAAAAGCCCTGCTATGTTGCGCCAGTGTCTGCATCCTGATGGAATGCAGAGTGTATGCCAGAGTGTTTGGGGTCTACCTGTGAGACTTGAGTCAAGTGCAAGACTCAGATGGTCACAAATAGATAAGAGTTGTTTTATTCCCATCAGAGTCTGGCCACCAGGGTCCTTCAACATTTGTGTGGGAAATTCTATATGGTATAAGGCCCCATGGACCACAGGACGCCTGGTGTCCATTGTCACCTTCCACTAACATCCGTAACTATTGTGAGAACCAAAAACACCCCTTACTCACACGCACCCCTGAGCATATTGCTTCTATTGTCTTCTTTGAATGATTTCAACAGCCTGAATACCCATCCTGACTCTACTGCCTAGTAACCTCTGGCCCTTTGCAAGCCTCAGTTTCCTCATTTACAGAATAGGTGCACAGAGGAAGTTCAACAGCAGCTCCTATCTCAAAGGCCACTTAGCACAGTGCTTAATAAGGTAGAAGTATTAAATGAATGTTAATTATTACCTATAATTTATATTATGTATTATTTATGAGTGTTCTTAAAATCACCATGAGTAAACAAGTGCTTTAAAGCAATGAGCTAGGATTCTGAATACTATTTCATGGATTTTAGAGAACTAAATTAGATTCTAGAGCCTAGTTATCATCATCATGGTTCTGCTGCTGGAGCTCTGAAGCTGTTTCTCAAGAAATCACAGCAAGGATTTCACAGGAAGGCTCACCTTGTCTTAGACCTGTGCTCCGGAATCACTTGGCCTTTATCACTGAATGGGTTCAGGCCTTCACACAGGACCACAGTGTCCCCAGACTGGGCCCTCAGTTGAGATGTAAAACAACAAAAGATGCCAAAAATACAGCCTAGTTCAAAGACAGTAGCAGCATATGTAAAAGAATAGCAATGTAAGAGCTTTTGCAATTACACACTAAATTGTTTGCTGCCATCTTTAAATTATGTAAGAAATAGAAAAAGGAAAAGCTCAGTGTAGGCGGGAGAAAGCTTCTAGATGGAGGGAAGCTGGAGCTGGCCCTCGAGGGTGGGAGGGCATCTGGGTCAGGGGAGGGCGGAGGAATGAGGCCTGGGTGGCCTGGATGGAGAGCGGTGCCCAGGCCTGGGCCACAACCCGTTCAAGAGCCAGAGAAAACTCCAGCTAGGGAAATACATATATAGGACATAAGGCAAAGTCGGTGTGCCACAGATACTCAAAGTGCGTCCCCAGGGATACACCTGGTGATATTTCCTCAGACAGGTCATCCAGAGCTAGTGCTAAGCTGGTGGCAAGTGGTGCCCATGGAAGTGCTGCCTCTGGCCGGGCAGGAGCATTTGGCTCTGCACGGGCTTCTGTAGTCTGGGAAAGGAAGTGTTCTCAGGGGAATGTTATCCTTGCCGTTGGGAGGGGCTGTGGGAACACGCAGTTACTGTTGGGGGAACTTTCCGAGCATACGTGCTGGTTTATGATGATGATGAATGATGGGCTCAGGACTGAGCCAAAGCACTTTCTTTTCTGGAGGTGGCATGGGAATCCTGCCATGGATTCCTGCTAGGAGCCACCGCCAGACACTATGACTCGGAGGCAAGGTTCATGTTCACTGGAACGCTGTGTCCACAAGGAACCAGGGTGCTGCTAGGCCGCTGTTCCCTGGTCCAGAGTTTTGTGTGGAGATGGTGCAAGCCTGTGACAGCATTGGTGTCTCCCTCAAGTCCAGGCATCATGCTGAAGATATGCATTCATTCATTCAGCAAATACATGTTAATGCTGGGCTTCAGACCTCATGGAGTAGAGATCTCCCTCTAGTGGAAGAAGACAAACAATAAACAAGGTACATAAGAAGATGTGATCTTTGCTCATGGCTCAGCGGTAAAGAATCTGCCTGACAATGCAGAAGACATGGGTTCCATCCCTGGGTCAGGAAGATTCCCTGGAGGAGGAAATGGTAACCCACTCTAGTATTCTTGCCTGGAAAATTCCATGGACAGAGGAGCCTGGTGGGCTATAGTCCATGGGATCACAAAAGACTCAGAAACAACAAATAAAATGTGGAATGTATTAGGTGATGAGAGTCCAAGAGAAAATCAGCCTGAAAATGGATGCATGGCACTGGTGTAAGGATGGCAGTGGGACATTTTCAACAGAGTAGTCAAGGAGGGGATTTTTTGGCAAGTAAGATGTGAGCGCAGCCTGAAAGGGGTGAGTGACATCTGTCACTGGAGGAAGAGCATTCCAGACAGAGGAAATGGTTTGTGCAAAAATCCTGAGGCATGGGCATGCCGGCTTGTTGGAGAGGGCCTGTAAGAAGGCAGAGAGGATGGAGTAAAGTGAGATGGCAGAGAGAAACAGGAGGAGGTATCTGAGAGAAGTCGGGGGAACAGATGCTCTCCATCCATAAGGCATTGTAAGGAGCCAGGTTTACTCACATGGAAAGGCGAGCCAGTGAGGAATCCGAGCAGCAGAGCGCCACAGCCTGACTATCAGTTTGTAGGGCCTCCCTGGCTGGGGTCTGGGAAAGAGACTGAAGTGGAAGAAAATGTAAGGGAACAGTGAGGAGGCTGTTGGGGCAGACTGGTGAATCCAGCCAGGGCGGGTGCCATGGCAGTGGTGAGTGACCGGGCAGTTCTGCTTGTATTTGGGACGCAGAGCTGCCAGATTTGCTGATGAATTGTACGCATGCCATGAGAGAAAAAGTCAAAGAACATCCGATGCCCATGACCCCAGCAACCAGTTCGAGACCCAAGTTCTCCATGGCAGGTATATCACCACCCCCTCCAGAAGTGACACCTGGAAGGTTTGATAGAAGTTACTTTCTTTCAGAGTGACTTCCTTCTCCTGGCGGTACGAATACCTGCAAAGCTTGACCTCCTGAAGGCTTGGGGTGTAAGGTAGGGTGTGATGGTTTACTCTTCTGGAAGACCCTCTGCCAAGCCCTCCCATGTTGAAGGGTGGGGCAGAGGGTCCTCCCAGAGTTTCCTTTCAGCCCCATCACTGTTCAAAGATGATAGAATATAGACCTATGTCAGTAGTACTAGCAGGCTGCAGCTGTTGATGCAATAAAGTAGGAATCTTATAGTTATTAAAAGTTGAGGTCAGTTGTAACAAGAATTCCAAATGGTTTCCATGTGGAAAACTAACAAATTAAGTAATAGATTATTAATTAAATCAGCCAAATTTGTTTTGTTTGGCTGTGCAACATGACTTGTAGGATCTTCGTTCCCTGACTAGGGATTGAAGCCAGGCCCTTGGCAGTGAAAGCACAGAGTCCTAACCACAGGAGAGCCAGGGAATTCCCAGTATTATCATTTTGAACATCAGTTTCCTGATCTGTAAAATGGGGTGATCCATTCTCTACCTCACTGGACCCCTGCAAGAAGGATAAACACTGAGTGCAATGTCTGGTTATGACATAAGTGAACTGATGGTCTTCATCTGTCACACGTCAGCTTCAGGAGACGCAGAAGGAGCCCAAGTCCCTCCTTCCTCTGCTGTTTTGCTCATGTCCTCCCTTCAAACCCGTCTCCTCTGTATCAGGTCATAGTTGTTTTTTTAATCACAGCAGCACTTTTTATTGCATGTCTATGAAGAGTCATAGACACTTGGAGAAGGAAATGGCAACCCACTCCAGTACTCTTGCCTGGAAAATCCCAAGGACGGAGGAGCCCGCCAGGCTACAGTTCATGGGGTCACAGAGAGTCAGACACGACTGAGCGACTTCACTTCGTGAAGAGTCAAGCCCTTTCTTAGGGGCTTCAGGTGAGCTCTCTCTAATCCTCACCTGCTGGTAAAGTGAGCGGCGTGCTAGTAATGCACAGGGAGGCTCTTGAGATGAATGACTTCTCTAAGGTTAGGTCATTTAGGAGGGAAAATCAGACTTACACCCTGGACTGAGGGTGTGAGGTCACACCATGAGTGATGATGGTGATGAAGAGGCGGCAATGGTGATGATGATAAGTAGAGGATGGTGGAGGTGGAAGAGAGGAAAAAAAGAAATAACATAGATGGACTGCCAGACTTTGCTATTAGGATGTTCTGTGTTTTGACTAATCCTTACCATGACCTTTAGAGGTTACCTCTATTTATTGCCCCATTAACAGCTGAGGAAACTGAAGCTCTGTGAGTGTCACACAGCCACTGGGTGGAGATGCAGGCCTCAGAATCTGAGAGGCCTGGTGTATGAAGCCTGAGCCTTGATGCTATGCTGGGGTGCCAGCCTTGGGGTGCCATCTGTTCATAATCTCCTGGTCATATCCCCTAGCACATCCCTTCATGGCCATGGGCACCCCCTCCTTCTTCCCAGGGCATGCCTCTCCCAGTAGGTTGTGTGTCCCCAAAGAACTCTGGGGATCCAGTGGTACAAATGTCACTTTGATTAAAGAGATACAGCTGGTGGAAGCACCTTCCTCCTGAATTTTAACCAGTCAAGAAGCTCAGCCCTTCAGTCAGTGGCAGGGTCACTTCTCATCAGCCAACATGTGTTCTTGCACAGGCTGTGATGTATCTCGATTTCTCTCAGGGTCCCCCCAAATGCTCAAATTTGAGGAAAAAACACTAGAAAGTGTATCCACAAGCAAACATTCTTCTGCTCTGATGTGACTTTTAGAAAGTCTAGTTGTTCTTGATATGCAAACTAATCTGTAAGGAATGAGAGCCTGGGAGAGAAGCAGGATGCATTATTCATTGGGAAACAGTATCTTGTATTTTAGAAATGAGAGCATGCCAGTGTTGATTTAATACCACCCCAGTGCTTAGGAGGAATTCAGTTAGAGATACACTTGTAGCCTGAAGAGTTGCTTATTTGATAAGTTATGAGAGGTGTTTCGAAGACATTATGCCATGTGAAGCTGGAGATGGAATTGTTTATATCTTCTTATCCTGTTTCTCCAGTGAGATGGCAGAACTCTTAATAGTAAGAGTAAAGTGTTACACCTGCCTATAACTGCAGTGCCTGGCACTTTACCCTGTCCATCTTTAGAGCAAAAGAAATCTTTGTTGTAAATGAGACAAGCCCCAAGAAAGAAAGCCTTGGAGAACTAACCCAGAGCAGTTCACCTCCCTTCTGAGACTCCAGCTTTCCCCCAGGTGCTCATTGTCCACACTTGGTCTCTGCCCAGATTAAGAAAGGCCTTGCTGTCATGCAGGGGAAAAAGGTGTCGTCTTTAGCCAGTCACATGTAGAGGCATTTATCAATGAATCAGTGGTTCTCAACCTTGATGGGTGGTTTTCAACCTGAGCGAGCGTCACGGTCACAAGGAGGCTTGCTGAAATACTGACTGCGGGACCCACTACCTGGGCCTCTTATTCCCTAGGTATTCATTTTTTAGGACTGCCATAACAAATCACCATAAAGTTGGTGGTTTAAAACAACAGAAATTTATTCCCTAACAGTTCTGGAAGCCAGAAGTCCAAAATCAAGGTGTGGGCAGGGCTGCACTCCCTCCAGAGATTCCAAGGAAGCATCCTTCCTGCCTCTTCAGCCTTTGGTGTCTCCAGGGCTGCCGTGGCTTGTGGCTGCATCACTGAAGACTCTACCTCCATCTCCACATAGACTTCTCTCTCTGTCTCAAATCTCCTTCTGCTTTTCTCTGATAAGGACACTTGCCCTGAATTTAGGGTCTACCTTGATAATCCAGGATGATCTCTTTTTGAGATACTTTAAACCTGCAAAGACCCATTTTTAAAATAAGGTGCATTCACAGATTGTAGGGATTAGGATCTCACGTAGCTTTTAGGAAGCTGTCGTTCTTCAGCCCACTACAGCAGGCCTGGAGTGAATCTTGAAAAGAGTCACATTTTTTGCATTTTTAACATGTTCACCATTGATACTGTAAGAAGCTCAAAGGTTGGAATATGAGGGCTGGGCTGCTACTCTGAAAAGAGAGAGAAATAATACAATGCCTTCTTTGAAATAGCACCTTTTCTTTAGAGTTCTTAAAATAGATTTTATCTCTTGGGATTGATTTATGGTATCCATTAAGCAGGATGCATAGCTCTACCACTGGAATTAATTTTTAAGTTGCTAACCCTTAATTATTTGTAGAAGATAGTACAAAAAATGTTGGAAGCAATTTAGAAATAGTCTTTCGATTCAGTCTATAATGGATGCTATTTAAAACAATGGCTTTTCGTATTCTCATATAAATGATGCTGCTAACATTCAAAGGCGCAGACTGTTCAAGTGCTTTGTACCCTAAAAAGTATACGAGGATCATCAGACTGTACACAGTGATTTTTCTTTGCCATGGCATGTTTCAGAAAAATGTTATGTTTCTGAAGAAAGAACACTTAATTCTGGATTCAGATCCTGAATGTGCTCCTTTTTTTGTTAGTTAAAAGTTGGGTCTTTGTTTTCTTGTCTAAACAGTGTGGGTGATAATATTTTGTCTTAATAATTAGCAAGTTTATTATGATGACCAATTAAGAGCACTTTGTAAACTGTCAAGTGTTTTGAAATATGTTTTCTCTATAATGATGAGGTAGAGAATAAATATAAAGTATAGCTAGCTAATAGCTAATTTCCAAAAATAATTTGTGGAAATCTCTGTACTAAAGCTAGTTCTTAAGAAGAATTCTAGCCAAAAATATGTTAATTTGGCTTCTCCCATGTATTGCATTTTTATGAAGATGACCACAATATTTACTACCACGTGTAGTCTTCTTCAATGTGACCTTTATATCCTTTCAAGGTTATGGGGACTTTATCATATCTTCTTGGATCTAAGTTGACTAGGGACTCACTTGTACATAGTAAAATGCAGAGATGACTTCTGAAACAAGGTTGTAAAAGGCCAAGCAGCTTTCAGTTTGTTCCCTGGGAATCTTACTTCTGTTGTCCTTTCCACACTGGGGCCACCATGTTGTTTGGAAGCTCAGACTAGCCCACACAGACAGACCACATGGAGAAACCCTGAGACCACATGGAGAAAGCAAGAAAGTGGTACTAAGCCGGCCAGTCCCCACCCCACCGCCCCAGCTACATCAATCCTCCAGCTGCACCCAAGACCCCAAGCCAGAACCCTAGAACCAATCCAGCTGAGCCCTTTCTGGATTTCTGAGCCACAGAAACCCTAGGAATGATTACAAGCCTTGTTATCCTCTTGAGCCTTTGTTATCATCCAAGCTGTAGGATAGTTTATTACACAAAAGATAACTGAAACATCCCGTATAAATCTAATAATGGAACCAGTGGTCTGATTATCAATGATGGGTTGGAAAAACTGTTGATATGGTAGTTAATCAAATGTGCAACCCCTTCTAGCCCCACACACCCCCACGCACGGCCCTTTGGCTGCTTACTTATCCTTCTAGTAACACTCTAGGTGTGATTCCCTTTTGTGCTAATAAGCAGGTTCTATTCTCTGCTCCCAGCACTACTTTCAGTTTGTGTTAAAGCTTTTCTTTGAGTGAAATTAATTAGTGTGATGTCTCTTCCCCTGGACTCTGGGCTCCAATGACGGGCTCTGTTGGTTTGTCCTCACCTTTCTATCCCCTTTTACCTAGAATAGTGCCTGGCACCTAGTAGGCATTCAAATAAATAGCCATTGTTGAAGAATGAACAAGCGAATGAGGATTGTACCCAATTCATTGAAACATATCCTCAAGTTTATATAAAGGATATAAATATGAACAAATGCAAAAATGTAGTATGCGATACAGCACCCTATGATTGTGTACTGCCTAAAGGCAACATCTGTGTTCTCAATTGCTCCCTTATAATGCCAGCCTTGAGATCCTGCAAGAAATCAGAAGGGAAGGAACATCCTCAGGCCGGGAGAATTCAGAAGGGTTTCTTTTGAAAGGATTAACAGATAGTTGAAAAAACTTAGAGTGCATCTTGGGACCCCTTCATGGCTGCAAAAGGAATGACTTTTAAAGAAATCGATCCAGGAATGTCTGCATGGCTGCCCTTTTTCTTGTAAATTTCCTCACAGTGAACACAGATATTGGAGAGGGAGTGTTTGGTTTTCTGGCATTCAGATGCAGCAAGTTTGTCTGCTTTCTTAGGTAGGCTTCTCATCTCTTGACCTGTAGCCTGTGAGCTGGGTGGGGTATCAGATGGCCTAACACCAGGGCACCAGTTATGATGTCAATTTTGTAAATGATGCCCCTAGGGGGGACAGTTGCCATGTGAAGAGAGCCTCATAAACTAATGCATCAATTGTCAATCTGTGTCTTCCCCACTGCTTCAAAGATGTACAAGCCATCCCATACCTGTGTGTTATCCATCCTTTGATTCTTCACCACAGTGAGGCTCAATAGGTCCCTGAAAACAGAGATTTATAGGCAGATATAAGATGATGACTTGAATTGGGTAGAATTGGGTCCCATAAATCCATAATCTTTCCATTTGGCCCACAAATTATCCATGTTGCCTTGCATGACTGGCGGCCTTCACTTGAGATCCACTCAAACCTACTGAGATGATATTAATTGTTGGTACTGTAAGCCAGTCTATTACTATCATTCCTGGGACTAATGATGGTAGTAATTACACTAAATTCTTTAGATAAACGATCTCACAACAATCCTATGAAATACATATACTAATAACATTCCCATTTTAGGAATTAGAAAAACAGAGGCACACAGAGGTTCAGAAATTTTACTAGTCACATGGTTATGTAGTAGAGCTCAAGTCTGAACCCAGCCTTAAGATCTTAAGAACCCAGAGCTTAAGATCTTGAGGAGTCCTGGCCCTCTGGGGGCCATCTAAGGAATGACTTTTTAAAAAAGAAGAGAAGGGAGGTCCCGGAATGTGAATGCTGCTATCATTTTTTCTTGTTGTTGTATGTTTCCTCATAGCACACACAGGTGTTTGAGATCAAATTTTTGGTTTTCTGTCACCCTGAGGGTTGCTGTGAACTTTGATGATATAAACTATCCCCCTACTATCATCATTATCCCTGGTATTTTTGTTATTATCAATTCAGCTGAACCATCTGTCTCCCGGAATGCCTCCTATTGATCCATGTGTTCTACCACCTCTCAGGTTCGTGTCTTATACAAGCTCATCCTCACCAGTTATCAGTAAGTTGTACAACAGGGCAGTGAATAGTGACCCACCCTCAAAAGAGCTGCCACTGGCATGTCATTGCACCAGGGGGACGTGCTTATCTAGGATGCCTTAACTCCACCAGGTTTTATTAGCCAAATCACAGGTATCAATCCACAGAAATACTACATACCAGTTCCTTTTGCTGCAACTAAAATACACCTAACTCAGTAATTCTCTCCAGAAAGCCTGGCCTGTTTATCATGATTTGTGTATAAGTGAACTCAGGTTGGCTCCTGCACCTAGTTTTTCTCACTTGGGAAACAGAGATACTAACCACCGTGTAGACTGGTGCCATTTAGGTGCTGTGATGCAAGTCAAGCATCAGCATTGTGCCTGACACATAAAAGCCAGCAGGAAGTCAAAAGTTACATCTATCACTGTCATTGATAATGACATTAATGATTAATAAATTAATAAGCAATTTGGGTCTTAGTCTTCTTTGAATTAAATTATACTACCTAATTTAAGACTATATTAAATAAGACTATATTAAACAAGACTATATTTTCTCTTTTTACCCCATTCCCTTTAAACTTAGATATAATATGTGCCCTTCTCCTTGTTTGTGTGTCCAAATGTTTAAATTCAATTTAGATCCTAATTTTTTAATCTCACCAATAACCAGTTACAATCTGCCCTTTGGGAGGACGCCCCTTCTTAAGCATGTCTGAGCTCCCTTTGCCAATCTGATTTACAGTGTGACATTTGGTGCCCTCAGCTGCTTCTAAAACCCAAGGGGCAAATTGGTTACCTAGCAACCGCATGAATGCAACTGCTAACAGTAGAGTTTAGCCCCATTTTGTTATAATGAAATAATGTCTTCCAAGAATGAAAAGCTGAGGTGTGCTCCATGAGGTGAGTGCTGTGGAGAAAAACTGCTGCTTCAAGACAGACTAGCAAAGCAGGAACTGTCCTGGCCATCCCCTGGTTTTCAGTGGCTCGTCGTTTTCCGGAATGAAGGTCCACCTGGGAGTCCTTGGTCGAGGTGAAGAGCTGCCACATTTGGTTTGCCCAGCAGTCTTAAACACTTTGTAAAGTTGGGTACTTTGGGTTGGGGGCGTCCACAACCGGCAGTATCATTCCCAGGTCGCCTCATACAGGCCCGCCTGGCCCCCAGAGACGTCTGACTTTGAACACCTTGGTGAAGAGCATCTCAGTGTTCCTTTCTTCTCCCAAAATGAAATCCATAGATAACATTACTACTGACACGTGATTTGGAAACAATTCTCAGTATTATACCAAGACTTGAATACAGTTATAAAGGAGAAATAAAGGGGAAGTAATTTATACTAAATAATGTATATTTAAAATATAAATAGACATGACTATGGGGAAGATAAAATGATTTAGTCAGATGTTTACACCTATTTGCAATGAATCAGATTGGATTTGGGAGAAGCAAGAGGAGTAAGAATCCATTCTGTAGATGAGATCCTGGAAAAGCAGAGGTACACATGAACATGAAGACGAAACAGTGTAGATTAAAGTCACACAAAAGGCCTTCTGTTTCCATACAGTAGGTCCTTTACTCAGAGAATTATACAGAAGCTTTCGGGTCGGGAAGACGCCCTGGAGAAGGGAATGGCAACCCACTCCAGTATTCTTGCCTGAAGAATTCTATGGACAGAGCCTGGCAGGCTACAGACCGTGGGGTTGCAAAGAGCTGGACACAACTGAGCAGCTAACATTTTCAGTTTTTTTCGCACTTTTTTTTTTGCCTACATGAGTGCTGGATGGGACCCTGAGAGTAAAGTTAAAAATGGGATAATTCTTTATTGAGGGACTGTCCTTCCAATTTTAGAACTTCTGAATCTAATCCATCTCTGTCTCTGCTACTGAAAGCCAATTGATTCCTTCACTGATGATAGCAACAGAAAGCCACCCTAAAGACTTTCCATCTTGGATTTCAATACTGTCCTAGTCTTGGTGCTTGGTCTTATTTCTTACTTCCCCCACCCCAAACACTAATCCATTCATTCATTCGTAATAGATAGAATTCACGATCCACATGAAATGCTTAGTTAACACAGAGACTGGGCCAGAAGAGCTTGATATAGATGGTATTAGGCTCTTCTGAATGCATCACTCAGTACTTTCTTCCTATATAGGATCATTGACATGGGCACAATAAAATACATATATGTAGTATTTTACATGCACACATTAAATATCTCATTGGAGTAGACAGTGAAAAATCTTGTGCCAGAATCCTCCTCAGTACCCCTCCCCTGGGCAGCTATGGTGTATTGTATGTGTTCCCTGCAATCTTTGTTTAGAGGCAAATATACATATATATGTGTGTGTGTGTGTGCGTGTATATATATATATATGTGTGTATATATATATATATCTCCCTTTTGCAGTGTTTTTCCAGTGATGAGAGCCTTCTCTAAAGCCAGTTCTGCATCCTACATTTCCACCAACCCTTCCTTCTGGGGACTGTGTATGGATCTTCCTCATTCTCTTTAATGGTTACGTGGTAGTTCATTTTATGGATGAACCGTAATTTTTAAAAAAACATCGGTTAGGTTGTTGTTTTTATAATACAGAAATGTCTAAAGCAGAAAACAAAGTAGCCCATAACCCCAGGATCCAGAAAAGCAAGTTAACATTTTTCTTTTAGCAAAGGGAAATAGATGGTAAAAACTAAGAAGGGGAAGGGGGACAGGCAACAGCACAATATGAAAAGCCAGGCTCTGCTTTCCTCTTCTCCAGCCCTGATCCCTCTCCCCTGAAACAACTATATTAACAGTAAGTGCCCTGCGTATTCTTCCAGAGAAAAAAGAAAGAAAGAATAGAGATACACTAGCTGTGTAGGGTAAGCAAAGTCCCCCACCGCAACCCCACCAAGATGCATGCATCCCAGTCCCAGAAACCTGAGAGGATGTTACCCTAGGTGGTTAGGGGGACTGTGAAGACATGATTAGGTTAGGGAGCTTGATTTAGAGAGGTTATCCTCATGATCCCAATGTGATCTCTTATTAAGACAGATGCAAGTGTTCAGAGAGGAAAGAAGGTTCTGTGCTGCTGGTCTTAAAAACGGAGAAAGGATAAACGTCCATAGACAGACAAATGGATAAAGAAGATGTGGTACATATATACAACAGAAGAATGAAATAATGCCATTTACAGCAACATGGATGGACTTAAAGATTATCATACTAAGTGAATTAAATCAGAAAGAAAAAAGTTTCATAAGATATCACTTATACATGGAATCTAAAAGAGATGATACAAATGAACTTATTTACAAAACAGAAATAGACTCACAGAGATAGAAAAGAAATTTTGTTTACCAAGAGGAAAGGGCAAGCAGGGATAAATTAGAAGTTTGGAATTAGCAGATATATACTACTCTATATAAAATAGATAACCAACAAGGACCTCCTATATAGTACAGGGAACTATATTCAATATCTTATAATCACCTGTAATGGGAAAAAATCTGAAAAAAATATATATGACTGAATCACTTTGCTCTACACCTAAAACTAGCACAACATTGTAAATTAATTATATTTTAATTTAAAATAAAAATTTTTTAAATGTAGAAAGGGGATCAAGTGCCAATGAATGCCAAACATATATGTAGTATTTTACATGCACACATTAAATATCTCATTGGAGTAGACAGTGAAAAATCTTGTGCCAGAATCCTCCTCAGTACCCCTCCCCTGGGCAGCTATGGTGTATTGTATGTGTTCCCTGCAATCTTTGTTTAGAGGCAAATATACATATATATGTGTGTGTGTGTGTGCGTGTATATATATATATATGTGTGTATATATATATATATCTCCCTTTTGCAGTGTTTTTCCAGTGATGAGAGCCTTCTCTAAAGCCAGTTCTGCATCCTACATTTCCACCAACCCTTCCTTCTGGGGACTGTGTATGGATCTTCCTCATTCTCTTTAATGGTTACGTGGTAGTTCATTTTATGGATGAACCGTAATTTTTAAAAAAACATCGGTTAGGTTGTTGTTTTTATAATACAGAAATGTCTAAAGCAGAAAACAAAGTAGCCCATAACCCCAGGATCCAGAAAAGCAAGTTAACATTTTTCTTTTAGCAAAAGGAAATAGATGGTAAAAACTAAGAAGGGGAAGGGGGACAGGCAACAGCACAATATGAAAAGCCAGGCTCTGCTTTCCTCTTCTCCAGCCCTGATCCCTCTCCCCTGAAACAACTATATTAACAGTAAGTGCCCT